CTTTTTCCTTATGTTAGACCCCCCCGGTCCCTCAGTGGGACCTGAACTTGGTGCTGGCCAGGCTAACAGGACATCCATTTGAGCCGCTTGATACATGCTCCTGGTCCCACCTCTCATGGAAAGTGGCCTTTCTTGTGGCGATCACCCCTGCTAGGAGGGTCTTGGAGCTTTGGGCCCTGACCTCTGAACCCCCATACATGGTTTTCCATAAGGAGAAGGTCCAGCTCAGCCCACACCCTTGGTTCCTCCTTAAGGTGATCTCCGCCTATCATATGGGCCAGGACATTTTCCTGCCGACGCTCTGTCTCAAGCACCATGCGTCCAGTGAGGAGTGGCACCTCCACATGCTAGATGTGAGATGGGCTCTGGCCTTTTACCTGGAACATATGAAACCATTCAGGAAGTCTTTCACAACTGTTCTTTGCCACGGCTGAATGCATGAAAGGTCAGCTGATCTCCACCCAGCGGCTCTCCAACTGGATTGCTTCATGTGTCTGGACTTGTTACAACCGGCGGGAGTTCTCCTGCGGCCAATTGCGAGAGCGCACTCAACAAGGGCGCAAGCCTCGTCGGCTGCCTTCCTGGCTGACGTCCCTATTCAGGACATTTGTAGGGCTGCCACTTGGTCATCGGTTCACACATTCACCTCGCATTATGCGATAGTCTCCCAAACTAGGGAGCATGCCGGGCTCAGCAGGGCAGTGCTCCATCCCGAGTGTCTGTGAACTCCTACCCACCTCCAACAGATATAGCTTGGAATCACCTATTATGGAATGCACGTGAACAATCACTCGAAGAAGAAAAGACAATTACCTTTTCCGTAACTGGTGTTCTTCAAGATGTGTTGCTCGTGTCCATTCCACATCCTGCCCTCCTTCCCCTCTGTCGGAGTTGTCTGGCAAGAAGGAACTGAGGGTGGGGGGAGTCTTCAGCACCCCTTATACTGCACCATAGCGGTGCCACTCCAGGGGTCGCTAGGGGCGCTCCCTGACGGGTACTGCTAAGAGAAAAACTTCCGGTGTCAGTACACGTGGCGAGCACGCACATCTATTGTGGAATGGACATGAGCAACACGTCTCGAACACCAGTTACGGAAAAGGTAACTATCGTTTACTGCTCTTACCTTTCCTACAATTTAATTTTGTAAGTTGATGGGCTTTTTTTAATAGTAAAAGTTAGAATTAGTGCATCATGTCATGCTCACAGGGTAATAGTCATGGATTTCAAGTGCATAACTTTCCTACCATCTATCTATCACTTTTTCTCCTTAATAATTATTCTAAGGGAAGGAGATGCTACTTAAGAAAAAGAGAGAGTTTTAGCTTTCTTCCTGAAAAGCAGCGCAATATGACATCAAGGTTGTGGGCCAGAGTGACCTTAAGGATGGTGTGATTACTGAGAGCTGTGAAGAAGGCACGGCTGGGGCACATAAACTACTGTGATTCTGTTTTCAATTGGGGCTGCAAAGTTGTAGATATGGGACAAAATAAAGGTAGGATCGTTCCAAAGTGGAGATGTATATTTTTCGTGTCATCAGCCCAGCGGTGAAACAAAGATTATATCAGTACTGTAGGAATTAATTTTCATCCACATTTTTTTCTATTTATCCAGACTACGGGATTTACATTTTTGAATTTTTTCATAAATACTCTGCAATACTTCCCAGGTAAAGTAAAATCCAGGTATTTTATGATTTATTAATCTCTTAACTGTTCAATGCTACTTTAGTAACCTAATATTTTAAAGTCTTTAATCTTCAAGACAAAACACAAGGATAGTTGAATAAAACTGGGACATGTTAAAGTGAATCTTAAAAAGGAGAGAGAAATAGGTATAGCTCAAAGCAGAAAAATCTGAGTTAGAAAAAAAAAACGTGATTAAAGGATACTTGAAAAGAATATTTGAAATGTAAGGAAGGTTCGTTTGTACGTGCATTTTAGTATTCACAGAGAAAGTGCATTGGTTAAAGAATTTCTATTCACACACACACACACACATGTACTGGTTTCTCTACTCAAGAAACAGAAGAACACTTGTTTCATTCCTAACCAGATTCCAAATTTCTAGGTAATTATTTTACTCATCTGTATGTTTCTTGCTGGTTCCTCCCTAGCATCTGAATGGGAAGCAGACAGAGCAGGATTTAGCTGTGTGGGAGACATAGGAAAAGGAGAAATGCTGGGCCAGGATCTTCATTGCCCTGCTCCTTATATAGCAATTTACACCATAAAAAAGTGGATGTAACACACTACCAGGTCAGCAGAGTAATGTTTTGTACCTACTTGGCACTTCTTTTGCCTTTATGTAAATGACAACACCTGCTGCAGGGCACCAGGCAGTCCCTCTGTATCTGCCATATACTCCTTCACCTTCTACCAGTCCTTCAGAAGCTGGTGGTCAGAAAGGGCTGAGGTTGATGATTGTTTTCTATTAAGATTTCCTCTAACTAAGTTCATACTGACCCAGTCAGTATTATCCTACACTGATGGCCCCTTCTGCACAGTATTATCTACCAAAGTTCAGGGACTGCCATTGATAGCTTGTACAGATACTGAGAAAGCAACTGTTTAACCCTTGTGACATGTATCTGGTGAATGTGATCAGGGGACAAGAAACTGAACAAGTGAAAAACATCCCAGAATATGGCAAATCATGATTTTAAATTACACAGGGGAAGCATTTACTACTTTTTACAAGGATTAATTAAAGTAGTATGTTAAAAATTAAAATAGCAATTTTATTCTTGAGACTCGTCTCTCTCTTCAGACCTCCCAATGTGTGTTCTAAAATACGGCAGCATAAAACATTTTTCATTGGAATAATATGTGACATGTATGAATGACTTGTAAACATGATGTGATTTGTTAACATTGTGGCCAGGGCCTATACCTATCCTCTCCACTGCCTACTGGTCCCCTAATAAAATGTTCTCTGGGTCTTATCTTTTCTTACATAAACATACAGCTAAGGGTAGCATAAAATCCCTCCTTTACCTGTAAAGGGTTAAGAAGCTCAAATAACCTGGTTGCACCTGACCAAAAGGACCAATAAGGGAAGAAGATACTTCCAAAGCTGTGGGGGAAGGTTTTTGTTTGTGCTGTCTGTGTTCTCTCTGGGACAGAGGGACCAGGGCAGGAAAAATACATCTCCTAAAGCCATATCTGAAATAAGCGTCTAAGATTACAAATTGTAAGTAACAGCAAGGAAATGCCTTAGGTTATCTTTTGTTTTAGCTTGTGAATTTTCTCTATGCTAAGAGAGAGGTTTATTCCTGTTTTTTGTAACTTTAAAGTTTTGCCTAGAGGGGAATCCTCTGTATTTTAAATCTTATTACCTTGTAAAATTACCTTCCATCCTGATTTTACAAAGGTGCTGCTTTTACTTTTTTTCTTTTATAATAAAGTTCTGTTTCTAAGAATCTGATTTGGTTTTTAGTGTCCTAAAAACTCAAGGGTCTGGTCTGTGCTCACCTTGTTTACCTATTTGGTTGGTATATGATTCTCAAGCCTCCCCAGGAAAGGGGGTGAAGGGGCTGGGGGGGGGGGTATTTTGGGGAAACAGGAACTCCAAGTGGTCCTTTCCCTGAATAGCTCACTTGGTGGTGGCAGCAATACCATCCAAGGACAAGGAAGGATTTTTGCCTTGGGGAAGTTTTTAACCTAAGCTGCTAGAAATAAGCTTAGGGGGCCTTTCATGCGGGTCCCTACATCTGTACCTCGGAGTAGGGAGGGAACCCTGACACTTGGACTGATAATAACTATTAAACTGCTTCACCAATAGCAACGTCTCCTGTGTGAACTAAAAATGTAATACACAGTACTAAAAGCCTTCCTGTGTATGAACTGAAAAAGTATGATTACATAATATTATAATATAGACAAATATGATTGAAATGTTGCTGTTGAGAGGACTGGGAGAGGAGAAAAAGCCTGCATTTTGTTTATCGTGCATCAGAAATTGATGACTACCAAGAAACTTAGGTGCAATAGATTGGATGGTGGGCATGCAGCTTGTTGTGCAGTACTGAAACACAGATTACAGTCTGAAGTATAAGAAATAATTGTCAATGATTATATAACAAGCCATTCAAGGGAAAATTTCCTCCTCTCAGTGTGAGCCCCAGCCTGTGTTTTCCTGCAACATAGAGGAAGGTACACACAAAGTATAGTTTCTGCATTATAGGCCCAGTAGTGCAATTATAGGATCCCTAGTAAGGCTGTAATAGCCATGCTAATAAGGATGTTCATTATTTGATTGGGGATATAACCCTCTTGTCTCAGGGCATAAAGCTTAGGAAGAAACAGTTTCTTAACCTACCACTATGTGCAATCACTCACCACAGCCAGATGCAACTGTTCAATATCAGCTTCTCCCTTAAAACTCATAAGAGTGGCTTGAACCAATGGGTTTCAGAGTAACAGCCTGTATTCGCAAAAAGAAAAGGAGTACTTGTGGCACTTTAGAGACTATTTATTTAGAGACTATTTAATTTATTTGAGCATAAGCTTTCGCAAGCTACAGCTCACTTCATCGGCTGTAGCTCACGAAAAGCTTATGCTTGAAACAATGAGATTTTTTTTAGCAATGAATGTGTTGAGGGTGTTTTCCTGTGGCCAGTTTTTTCCTGGAGCCAGCGGGGCCAAGAACATCCCCTTTAAAAAAAAAAAAAAAGGGCTGAGCTTCCCAAGACTCCAGGAGCTGGGGGTCTAAGGAACAGCTAGGCAGGGGCCAGCAGGATGCCTAGGCATCCCTCACAAGGCTTCCCCGGCCTGCTCCCGCGCTAGCTTAGTCCCGGATCGCCTCTGAACCCAGACGGCCCCGGCTCTGGCCTGATGGGCACAACCGCAGGCCAATGTACTGCTGGGGGCGTGGCCTGAATGGTGTGACTGGCTGCGCGGGGGGGGGGGTTGGCGTGTGAGGGGCGGGGCACATGGCGCCCGCCTCAAGCCCATCTGCAGGAGGGAGGGGTTTGTGTCACGTGGCCCATCTGATGCGTCATCAGCGCGCGCCCCTGACGGCTTCCCTAGGCGGTGGGCGGAGCCATGCCGGTTTCGGGCCCTGCCTAGGGGCACAGTGACCCGGTCGGACATGAGCGGCCTCAGCCTTCTACTGCGGGTGGCGCGCGCCGCGTTCCCCCCCGGGGCCAGGCAGCTACGCACTGGCGGCCTCCGCAGTGCCTACGCCAAGGAGCTTTTCCTGGGGAAGCTGCAGAAGGTGAGGTTGAGGGAGATGAGCCCGGGCTCCCAGCACCCTCCGCAACTGTGCCCGGCCCCTGTGGGTGTCTCCTCCCCTCGCTGGGGCACCTCTGGGGCTCCCAGCCCCCGCCACTGACTTCCCGGCCCCTGGGGGTGTCTCCTCCCCTCGCTGGGGCACCTCTGGGGCTCCCAGCCCCCGCCACTGACTTCCCGGCCCCTGGGGGTGTCTCCTCCCCTCGCTGGGGCACCTCTGGGGCTCCGGGGCACCTCTGGGGCTCCCAGCCCCCGCCCTGCAGCTGATTGTGTCTGATCCCTGGGGTGTCTCCTCCCTTCCATGGGGCACCCCTGGGGCTCCCAGCCCCCGCCCCACCACGGACTGTGTCTGGCTCCTGGGGACTTTTCTCCTCTCTCTGGGGCAGTCCCAGGGCTGCCAGCACGCCCCTTGCAACGGTGCCTGTCCCCTGGGGTGTCTCCTCCCTTTGCTGGAGCACCGCTCAGGTTCCCCACCAGTGACTGTGCCCAGCCCCTGGGGACTCTTCTCTTGCTGGGGCACTCTTGGGGCTGCAAGCACCCTCCTTGCAACTGTGCCCAGCCCCTGGGGACTCTCTTCCCCTTGCTGGGATACCCCTGGCTGTTTGTCTCCTCAGGGTTCTCCTCCAGGCCACATCCTTCTATGGGGCCTCCTTCCAGGTTGTCCCACCCTGGTGCCTCTCCCTTCGGGGGACCCCTCACAGCCCTAGCCTTTCTCCTGCATGGAATGGAGCCGTTTCATCCCCTGTTCTCTATGTGCAGACAATGTAGAAGGGAAAAAAAAAGGAGTTGGTTTTTTTTGAGAGGGGGGGGGAAGAAGACCCCTCGGGGCCCCTCCCAACCCTGATACGCTATGATTCTATGATTTACAGCCTGGCTCTTATCTGTACAGGAGCAGCTCAGGAGTAGCTGTTACCTGAGTGATCTGTGTAAATGAGACCACCTGTTCACTGTCTCTACACTTGTCATAGGCCAGTTGGGGGACCCAGATTCTAGAGTAAGAGGACCTCCCACCAGAGCATTTTGCACCATGTGAAACACATCTACGCTTCCTATACACTAAGTTTTTTCTGAAAATCTTCCTTTGGTGCTAGCAACAATGGGAATGCTATTAGAAACGGCTTGCAAGGATTTTAACACTATGTTGAGTAACTATTTGGTGGTAAAAATGCATGCTACTTACCCTTGTGTTTAGCTGCTGATAACACCAGTTGCTAATAATGAGTAAAACACTTGCTAATATAGATGTACTGTGTGGCGGCTTACTCGAGTCATTTGGTATTCAAGTTGGAGCATTAGGAGATATGTTTCAGATTGTGGGGTCAGGAACAGGTACGAAGATCTGCTATAAAAGTGAATGTGGCCTGAATGGTGCACAAGGGAAAGGAGACAGTTTATCTTGCACTCTGACCTATAGGACAGCAGCTGCTAGATAGACTTTAGGTTTGTTTGGTTTTTTTAAGTGATTTGCTAATCCTCTCCCTTCTGGATTACTATAACCTCTTCTTCAACCACACTGACATGCTTATTGCTCCTCTTAATGGTGTCCAAAGTGTAGTTGCCAAAACTATCTTCTAGCCAATTAATCTGATCATGTCTTCCCCTTCATTTGAATCCCTACACTAGTCCCCAAACACACCAGTTTGTTCAGACTCCATTCATAGTCTTTCACATTTTCATCTTGATTTTCATCTATTACCTGGTCTGCTATTGTCCCCTCTTCACCACAAGTGATACTGCGTTCATAATTTCCTCCTATTTGCATCTCTGTGCAATTTACTGTGGTTTCCCTTTATATGTGGAACACTCTCCCCATTCTAGTTTACCAACCTGCCACCCTTTCTTCATTTAAGTCCTTTTTAAGAAACCACTTCTACAATGAGACTTACAAGGAGTAAGTTTATAACTAAAGAGGAAAAAAGCAAAGTTGTCTCCCCCTCTTGCCAGTGTATTCCAGATGCTGTGGATCTGTCATCTAGGTTGTAATGTTTTGGAGTTTGGGACTCTATATTCTTCTGTGTACTGTACAGTGCCAGGCATATTCTAGGTGCTTAACAAATAATAGAGCCAGTATTTGTATACAGACTGAAATCATTCTGAAACTTAATTTCTTTCCTTTAGAAGTTACACTTTATTCTATGGAGATTGCATAAGGTCCAAAATTCTGGATTCTATACTTCTGGGTTATCTGATTTGGCAGTAAAAACGTGCTTAGCACTTCACTTTTTGTTAGTTTAAATTGTTAGGAAACAGAACTTGTATAAAGGTGAGTTCTTTATATTATATCTAAAGGAAGATTTAATTGTGTGGTCAGTTTCACTTCCACATTTCGATGAACTGTTGGAAAGGCAGCTACAGAGGCACATACTCAAGTTTCCATTGCTTGTTGGTAGTTAAGTGTGCCCTTGGGGATGAAACCTCTGTTACACAATGTACATAGTCTATATTTTCTCTTTGCCCTTCTTCCTTTGAACCCTGCCCCTGCTGATGTTGTCTTTTGAGCAGCACAATGAAACAGTGTCACTTCTGCCCAGAGCTAGCCACAGCCATTGTGAAAAATGAGGCGTATCAGAATGGTCCTCTGGAACATCACTCTATTAAGTGCCCATTTCTTTCCAGAATGCAGTTCCCAGGCCCTGTTCAATGCCTTCATTTTTAACATTGGCATCTAGTGAGTAGGTGGCAGTAAATTAAGGCCTTTCCCCTCACAAACCACAGATGACAAAGAAGGAGTGTATAATATATACGTGTGGACAATACAAGATTGCCAGCCTTCATGTCAGGAAATTGCTCTTTCACATGTTATGCAATTAATATTAATGCTTCAGTTTTTGTTTTGAAGAAAGGGGAGAAAATAATTGAAGGACAAACTAAGCAACAGAGTGGATTTGACTTAAATCACTAATCAGGAAGACATGATTTAATCATGGATTTCTACATAAGAGCATTCTTGTTGGTTGCTATAACCTTAATACATACATAAGCTTCACAATTCAGAGATAGATGTAGGCTTCATTTTTAGAAGGTACACACTATACATTTTTAAAGTGATTTATTTTGAAAACTTTTCAGATTAGTTTTACAACTATATCAGAAAATGAATGATTGTTTGGTTATTTTATTTACCAAAGGTAATTGAAGCAGATACTTATGAAGTCATTGGGAGGTAAACTATTTATCTCCAGTTCAACAGGTTAATCATTAATATTTGGAGGATTTTCTTGCCACGCTGTATTAGGAAAACATCACCGGACGGACATTTTAAATTGTTTTATTTAACTAAAATAACCACGTTATGTATTCTGGATTTTTTTAACCGTAAACATATAATTTAACAAAACGAGCATATGAATTGTTGAATTCAAGTTTTTTAAAATCAGGTTTGTTTTTGTTAAAATTGTTAATTAAAATAGTTAAATGAAATATTTAAAAAAAAATTAAATCAACTATGTCAGCCAGGTCAACATGAGAAACTTAAAATATTGGCTTCTGTAGCTAACTCAGTTATCTTCATCTTCATTTTCCTCTTTTTTTCATAATCTGGAAAAGAAAAACAAGCTTTCCTGCTTTTTCAGGTCCCAAACGATTTCTCAATTTGGAATGAATTAGAATATTTTCTTCCTTTGGGCTTTCTACACCGGCAGAAGAAGCTACTGCTGTTAAAAGTGAGATTATCACTTCACTAGTCTCTGAATCCAAGTGCTTAAGTGACTTCCACCAATTCACTGGTGTGACTTTCTTTAAAACGTGATCAGCAAACATATTTCTTGAATGGTTCTTATTCCCAAAGTGGGTCTCTTTTATGGCCTGCTGCCATTATAGGCTACGCTCAGAAAGACCTCAAGACTTCTGTAATGTGCTGCTCAAACAGTTCCACTGTTTCAGAGTAACAGCCATGTTAGTCTGTATTCGCAAAAAGAAAAGGAGTACTTGTGGCACCTTAGAGACTAACCAATTTATTTGAGCATAAGCTTTCGTGAGCTACAGCTCACTTCATCGGATGCATACTGTGGAAACTGCAGAAGACAGTACATTGAGTACTCTTTACATTGAGAGTGGTCACTTTGGATTGGCTATTACCAGCAGGAGAGTGAGTTTGTGTGTGTGTGTGGGGGGGGGGGTGAGAAAACCTGGATTTGTGCTGGAAATGGCCCAACTTGATTATCATACACATTGTAAGGAGAGTGATCACTTTAGATAAGCTATTACCAGCAGGAGAGTGGGGTGGGAGGAGGTATTGTTTCATGGTCTCTGTGTATATAATGTGTTCTGCAGTTTCCACAGTATGCATCCAATGAAGTGAGTTGTAGCTCACGAAAGCTTATGCTCAAATAAATTGGTTAGTTCCACTGTTGTTTCTACGGCCTGTCCCTCCCTTCTCACATTTATCTCCAGACTTCTGCTCCTTGTCCAGATCTGTTCCACCCCCAACAATCTTTTATTCATTGAACTTTTTGAAACTTTACACTTTTAGAGAGAGGTAAGGGATTGCAAATGTATGTACACAGAGTCAGAGGGACAATAGGGTTGAGGTTGGTTTGTTGGTTTTTGCTGTTAACAAGCATGTTATCTCTGGGGAGACACATACACAGTTTGAGAACTGCAAAACTAAGCATCTTTGATGGCATCTTCTAGATCAGGATGGGCAAATTATGGCCCGTGGGCTGGATCTGGCCCGTCAGGGCTTTGAAACTGCTCCGCAGGATTGCCACCCCTGTGGCGCCAAGGTAGGCTTCCTGCCTGCCCTGGCCCCACACCGCTTCTGGAAGCAGCCGGCGCCACGTCCCTGCGGCCCTTGGGGGAGCAAGGGCAGAGGGCTCCGTGTGCTGTCTGTGCCTGCAGGCACCGCCCTCCGCAGCTCCCATTGGCCGGGAACAGAGAGCCGCGGCCAATGAGGGCTTCAGGGGAGGTACCTGCAGACAAGGGCAGTGCGTGGAGCCCTCTGCCCCTCCCCTCCCCAAGGGGCTGCAGGGATGTGGTGCTGGCCGCTTCCGGGAGCAGTGTGGGGCCAAGGTAGTCAGGGAGCCTGCCTTAGCTCCGCTGCGTGCCGCTGCCACCCTGGAGCTGCTCAAGGTAAGCAGCACTGGGCCAGAGCCCATACCCCGAACCCTCCTACACCCCAACCCCATGCCCTGAGCCCCCTCGTAATCCTGCACCCCTCCTGTGCCTTAAGACTGCTCTTGCACCCCCAACCACTTGCCCTGAGCCCTTTCCTGCACACTGCACTCCCTCCCATACCCTAACCCCTTGCCCCACCCTACATTCGTGGCCCTGCGTGCAATTTCCCGACCCAGATGTGGCCCTCTGGCCAAAAAGTTTGCCCACCCCTGTTCTAGACTGACCACTGAGTCCCATTGGGCAGATAGAAAGATTAACCAAAATAATCTATACAGAAGTCTGTGGACCCAATTTTATGGGGTTCCAGGATCCATCAACTATTGAAACTCATTTACAAAACTTTCCTTAAACATTACATGAATATATGGTCTCATACTATAGAATTAGAATATATAATCCCTATTCAATGGTGAGAGATCTTTGAGCTATAATGTGATTTAATTAAAACTATCTTTAGATTGCTTTTTTCATCAAAAAGAATTTTATCAAAATTTTGATTTTTTTTATTTTAAAAAATCATTGATTTTTATCCACCCTGCTAAGCAACCAAGTTCATTGCTTAATGTTTTAAAGTATAGTAAATTTTCTTTAAAATAGAAATGGGTAGCTAAATGATATACTAATTATCAGACAATTAAATGTCATGGAACTTACTTCTGAAGTAATGCCCTCCACTCACTGATAGTAATGGGATTTTTGCCATAGACTTCACTGGGAACAAGACTGGATCCTTTATAGTGTTCGAAGAGCATTAGCTTTTCTTCTGTGCCCTTAAACAAGCCAAGAGGCATAAACACTGCCAAATTACCATATATGCTCGTTAATAAGCCAAATTTTTTTAGTAAAAAAGGGAAGCATCAGAAAAGAGGGTCGGCTTATGAACAGGTATAGAGAGGGAGAGGTGGGACACAGCCCCCACCCCAACAGAGGGAGCAAGGAGAGGCAGCAGAGTCAGAAGGAAAGAGGTGGTGGCCAGAATCTCTCCGCTTCTGGCCACGCTGCTCTCCCCCCAGCCTCCGAAGAAGCTGCAGCTTCGGGGCTGGCACTCTGTGGCCGCACCGCCCGGCCCAGCCCGCCGGAGCACGCTGCGGCCACGCCAGAGACATCCTCCCCTGGCCCACCCCAGCTAAGATGGGAAGGGATGGGATGGGAGGAGTGTGGGGGTCCTGGTCTAGGGGTGGGATCATGGGGTGGTGGTCACAGGGGTTGCTTCTCCCCCAGATGCTGTCCCGGCCCGGCAGGGTGAACAGCTGGCGCGCCGGGACGCTTTGTTTTCTTAGGTTTACCTCTGTGCCTGCGGACGCTCAAGGTAAACAAACCATCTCGGCCCGCCAGCAGCTTATCCTGATGGTCCAGGAGCCAAAGTTTGCTGACCCCTGAATTATAGGGTCAGCTTATGAATGCGTCATAAAAATTTTCCATTTTTACTTATCTATCTTGGCGGGGTCGGCTTATAAACAAACCAGCTTATGATCGAGTATATCCGGTAAGTGTAAAAATATAATAAGAGCCAAAAAAGAGTTTGAAGAACAGCTAGCCAAAAACTCAAAAGGTAATTATTAAATGTTTTTTTCAGTACATCAGAAGCAGGAAGCCTGCTAAACAACCAGTGGGGCCCCTGGACGATCGAGATACAAAAGGAGAACTTAAAGACGATAAAGTCATTGCAGAGAAAATAAATGAATTCTTTGCTTCAGTCTTCACGGCTGAGGATGTTAGGGAGATTCCCAAACCTGACCCATCGTTTGCAGGTGACAAATCTGTAGAATTGTTACAAATTGAAGGGTCACTAGAGGAGGTTTTGGAATTAATTGATAAACTTAACAGTAACAAGTCACTGGGACCAGATGGCATTCACCCAAGAGTTTTGAAAGAACTCAAATGTGAAATTGTGGAACTATTAACTATGGTTTGTAACCTGTCCTTTAAATCAGCTTCTGTACTCAATGACTGGAAGATAGCTAATGTAACGCCAATATTTAAAAAAGGCTCTAGAGGTGATCCCGGCAATTACAGAACGGTAAGTCTAACGTCAGTACCGGGCAAATTAGTTGAAACAATAGTAAAGAATAAAATTGTCAGACACATAGAAGAACATAAATTGTTGGGCAAAGGTCAACCTGGTTTCTGAAAAGGGAAATCATGTCTTGCTAATTTATTAGAGTTCTTTGACAGGGTCAACAAACATGTGGACAAGGGGGATTCAGTGGACATAGTGTACTTAGATTTCCAGAAAGCCTTGACAAGGTCCCTCACCAAAGGCTCCTACGTAAATTAAGTTGTCATGGGATAAGAGGGAAGATCATTTCATGGATTGAGAACTGGTTAAAAGACAGGGAACAAAGGGTAGGAATAAATGGTAAATTTTCAGAATGGAGAGGGGTAACTAGTGGTGTTCCCCAAGGGTCAGTCCTAGGACCAATCCTATACAACTTATTCATAAATGATCTGGAGAAAGGGGTAAACAGTGAGGTGGCTAAGTTTGCAGACGATACTAAACTTCTCAAGATAGTTAAGACCAAAGTAGACTGTGAAGAACTTCAAAAAGATCTCCCAAAACTAAGTGATTGGGCAACAAAATGGCAAATGAAATTTAATATGGAAAATGTAAAGTAATGCACATTGGAAAAAATAATCCCAACTATTCATACAATATGATGGGGGCTAATTTAGCTACAACTAATCAGGAGAAAGATCTTGGAGTCCTCGTGGATAGGTCTCAGAAGATGTCCACGCAGTATGCAGCGGCAGTCAAAAAAGCAAATGGGATGTTAGGAATCATTTTAAAAGGGATAGAGAATAGGATGGAGAATATCTTATTGCTCTTATATAAATCCAGGGTATGCCCACATCTTGAATACTGAGTACAGATGTGGTCCCCTCATCTCAAAAAAGATATACTGGCATTAGAAAAGGTTCAGAAAAGAGCAACTAAAATGATTAGGGGTTTGGAACAGATCCCATATGAGGAGAAATTAAAGAGGCTAGGACTTTTCAACTTGGAAAAGAGGAGACTAAGGGTATATAAAATCATGAGTGGTGTGGAGAAAGTGAATAAAGAAAAGTTATTTACTTGTTCCCATAGTATAAGAACTAGGGGCCACCAAATGAAATTAATGGGCAGCAGGTTTAAATCAAATAAAAGGAAGTTCTTCTTCACTCAGTGCACAGTCAACCTGTGGAACTCCTTGCTTGAGCAGGTTGTGAAGGCTAGGACTATAACAGGGTTTAAAAGAGAACTGGATAAATTCATGTAGATCAAGTCCATTAATGGCTATTAGCCAGGATGGGTAAGGAATGATGTCCCTAGCCTCTGTCTGTCAGAGGGTGGAGATGGATGGCAGGAAAGAGATCACTTTGATCATTGCATGTTAGGTTCACTCCCTCTGGGGCACCTGGCATTGGCCACTGTCGGTAGACAGGTTACTGGGCTGGATGGACCTTTGGTCTGACCCAGTATGGCCATTCTTATGTACTATCAGAATAGATAAACTCCAAATTAAATTTATTGATTATTAATCAAAAGAAGGATTCTTGAAGTATGAACTTAAATTGAGCCAAACAAATCCACAAGAGGCATTAACCAAATTCAGTAATGTGAGGTTAGCAGTACTTTGTGATCTTCCAGAACAAACCATGTCGTGTCAAGGAAAGGATTGTGGAAATCAAGCAAACAAATTTCGTCCCATAGAGCCTGACCATCACTTATTTCATACTCAGCTCCTCCTGATATAGCAAATTTTCTATACATTGGTCCTTTTCTGAAAATTTTAGAAGTTACCAAATCCTAAGTGTTGTCTCCACACTCCTTTAGGAGTACTTGAGTGAAGAGAGAATGACATGGTCTTGCAAAGGGGAGTTTTGTTTTGAGAAGGCAGGGTAAGGGAGTAGGAACACTGTCACTTTAGCGATATTTCACATCTCTTATTAGCTGCTCATAATTTTCTCTTTATTCAAGTCTAAAGATTGTAATGCCTCCAACTTGCAATGAAAAACCCCTTGTGTGAGGGAGAGACTGGAGCAAAGCGGAACTGCATTGTGCTAATCCATGCACTCTATCATTGAGCACCCAACGATGTGCTAAGAGTTTCACAAAACTAGTATATATCGTCCCTGCCCCAAGGAGCTTACAGTCTAAAATTGGCCCAAGTGAGGGCCATAAACAAAAATGTGTACTAATTGGTAAAACAGGATTCTGGTAACAGGGGCATGTGGTTACTCAAGTATGTACTTGTTGGTCGCTCATTTTACCTGTTAGCACACTTTCTTATATATGAGCAGTTTTCCTTCACCCCAATTTTTCATTTTCAGATGCTATTCCTCGTTTGTTTCAACATGCAGTACAATTGAAAAATGTAGTTTTCAATACAGAACAAGTATCTTTCATTTACTTAAGTTTGCTTATTTGAGACTACCTGAATTCCTGTAAACATTTTCCACAATTTTTGTTTTTAGAGGTTAACATCTAAAAGCCACATGTTCTTCTTCAGCCTGCTTTTTATTTTAAATTACCATAATCATATTATACTCTGACGTTTTAGGAGGAAGTTTTCCCTTATCCAGAGATTTCTAATGAAGAATTAGAAGAAATCAACCAGTTTGTAGGACCAGTAGAAAAATTCTTCAGTGAGGAAGGTATGGTTATTCATCTTTTTCCATACAAATGGTTTCTAATTAGTGATATTACTATAATTGAAATACTAAAAAGGAAACACTGTTACACTTTGTGCATTTATCATGACTTGTATAGTGTCACTGTTTTCCCTTGCATAGTCAATTTTCTCTTTTTGTTCAGTTCACTCATGCATCAAAGAGGAGAGAAATAAGAAAATTATTGTAAAACCACAAAAATTTGAAAGGAGGGCTCTGGGGCAAATGTAAGAATTGAAACTGCTTTTCCCTTTAAAAGTGTGTTCCTTTCACTGTCCTGTAATTTATAAGCATCTGATTTTGCTCATCTTTTTCCAACCATATTCAGCAGAGGCAAGCAGAAAGAGTGACTATTTCAGAAGCTATGAGCATATAAAAATAGATGTTCTGCAATACTAACTAGATCAGTGAATCTGTTTTGGAAAATTGATGAGAACTTTTTGCTTAGCAAAGGCACAGTGTGATTAAATGTTTAATTTTTTCTCTGTTCTCTCAGAGAAACATTGTTGAATAGCTCCTAATTTCTTTACAAGCACTTATTTTCACTTCTGACGTAGTTAAGCAGTATCACCCCCAATTTCCAGATGGCAAGTGTGGGGCAAAGCTTCTGACTTCCCCAAAGACTCGGAGGAAGTCCAGGGTCATGACGTGGATTAAAACTCCTGAGGCTATTGGGCCAACTAGCAGCCAGTGACTATGTCCCTGTTCAATGGAATAATTCAGCAATTTAAGCTAAAACTCAAGAAATTCTTAAGAGTGACAGAGAAGACAATGCATATTTAGAGGGCCATGAAATCAAAAAATAAACAAATACTCTTCAGTCAGTTTAAGAGCTGATATTTAATGGAGAAATGAAAAGGAGTACTTGTGGCACCTTAGAGACTAACCAATTTATTTGAGCATAAGCGTTCGTGAGCTACAGCTCACTTCATCGGATGCATCCAATGAAGTGAGCTGTAGCTCACAAAAGCTTATGCTTATGCTCAAATAAAGCTTATGCTTATGCTCAAATAAATTGGTTAGTCTCTAAGGTGCCACAAGTACTCCTTTTCTTTTTGCGAATACAGACTAACACGGCTGTTACTCTGAAACCTGTCATTATGTAATGGAGAAATGAAAAACATTAGGTTACACGGTCTAGTTGATGGTGAAAATGATTTAATTTTGTTTGGGTACTCTGCCATTTCTGGTTAGATATTCAGGGATAATTCTGAGCAGCAAAAAAAAAAACTGGAAAGCTGCCTAAGCGCTTGGAAATTTGATACAGTTGGCACTGAGCAAAGAAATTCAACTGAGCAGAATCTCTGAAGCTTGGCAATTCTCATACACCATGCAGATATCTGTATCACTCTAGTGAATGAACAAGTAAACAACAAACGCTTTTCTCTCCCAAATCAGCTAATTATAACCCAAGTATATTCTTGATATGATGTGCTTTGTAGCCTAAACCATTAAAAAAAATCAGTTGCTTTGTTACAATGTTATGTTTTCTGACTGAATTTCATCCCTCAACCAAGCATTGTGGTTGACCCCTTCTACCTCATGCAGTCCTTGTTAAGTCCCCTGCCTGTGATGAATAGGAATCTTTCTCAGGGAAGTGCCACTGGACTCTGCAGGATTTGCTTTTTTCCCTCAAGAATTTTTTTCGGCAGGATAGCTTCAGCCTCTGCTGCTGAACAGCAACATACTGTAATGAAAACTAATGAAATTCTTGTCAGTTTACACGCTTGCTATTCTTGAGGACCTAATGGGCAGCTGTGCAACTGGCAAGAACCAGATCTGTTCTTGCTTAAAAACTACCCAATCTATTAAAATTTATTGGGATAAATGTTCTTGAGGCTGTTCTGTGACAAATTCCGAGTTGTTTTTTTTCTTTATCCCAGTGTTTTGGAATTGTGGAATTTCTTATACTATTCTAATGCTTCATGCTAGTGTACACCTGAATATGCAAAGAAATGTTCAAGATGGTTGAAAAAGCTATAGATTCTCCCCACTTCCAAGGCCCTACTATTCATGTGTCACCACTTGGAGTATAACTTTTGTCATTGAAACCTTCCAGTCAGTTCCTTCTTGAATGCAGTCAGGGAAGGAGCACCGTGAGGAGCTGTGCCTCTTCAGCTGGAGAACTGTTTCAGCTGAGTAGAGCTCATTCTTGCAGAAATCTCTTCAGTCTTATTTTTTTTGTGGAGCGTTCTCTTCTTACTATGTAAGAAACAACTGGAAGATTCCAAGGGCTGTTGTTATGTGCTATCCAGGAGCCACCATGAAGAGAGGAGTTGGCTCAAATTCTCTCCCACTATTACTGCCTTAGGAACTAGAACAGAGGTGGGCAAACTACAGCCCACAGGCCGGATCCGGCTCACCAACTGTTTTAATCCAGCCCTCGAGCTCCTGCTGGGGAGTGGGATATGTGGCTTGCCCTGCTCCAGCACTCTAGCTGGGGAGCAAGGTTGGGGACCACTCCATGTGGCTCCTGGAAGCAGTGTCATGGCCCCACTCCAGCTCCTATGCGTAGGGACAGCCAGGCTGCTCCACTCTGCACGCTGCCCCTGCCTGAAGCGACGTCTCTGCAGCTCCCATTGGCCAGGAACTGCAGCCAATGGGAGCTGCAGGGGTGGCACCTGCAGATGGGGCAGCGTGCAGAGCTGCCTGGCCGCAGCTCTGCATAGGAGCTGGAAGAGGGACATGGCCACTGCTTCCAGGAGCCACTTGAGCTAAGTGCTGCCCGGAGCCTGCACCCCTGCGCCTCTCCCCACACCCCAACCCTGATCCCCCTCCCACCTTCCGAACCCCTCGGTCCCAGCCCAGAGCACCCTCCTACACCCGAAACTCCTCATCCCTAGCCCCACCCCAGAGCCAGCATCCCCAGCAGGAGCCCTCCCCTGTGCACCCCATTCCACCACCCCCTCCCGCACGCTGAACTCCTCATTTCTGGCCCCATCCCAGAGCCCTCTCCTCTCCCTCCCCCCCCACCCCAACTGCAATTTTGTGAGCATTCATGTCCCACCATACAAGTTTGCCCGCCCCTGGACTAGAACGAGTAGAAGCAGAATTGTGAGGTCAAGTAACTTCTTACAGGAATGTACCTGAGGGGTTTTATTTCCCTGCAGTGTGTAGTGGTAACCTCCGTATGCAGTGGGTCACAGTATTCCACCTTACTTCTACTTCAAAACTGGTAGTGAGCCGTAATGGTATAGTGCCTAATGATTGCTGGGGGGCTGTTTAATACTTTTCCAGATTCAGGGGAGTGAGGGGTTGGGGCATGTTAGCCATTGTTAAAGGCAGTCTGAAGCTAATAGGAGCAGTTTCTGTAAAGTTAAATGGGTGAAGCATGTGCGCATCTGTTGGAGCATGAGTCAAAAGCTAGGGTGCTGAACATGTAGTCTGGTTTGCTGCTGAGGATGCTTTGAGATGCTAGAGGAGAATACTTGTTGAGGGCTTGGGGGCAGGTGAGACACTCTGCTCCTTTTTCCATTAGCCATATCCTGTTTTGCAGGTCTATGCTCTCATGTTGATTATTGGGAATAGAGGTTATGCTGCTATTAACATGCCATGGTATTGAGAATGCTGTTGTAGCCTGCCTGCTTTGCACTGATGCAAATACTCTTGTGGAGGGGCACACTTGCTGTAACCAGTCATACTTCTATTTTCAGTGGACTCTACGAAGATTGACCAAGATGCTAAAATCCCACCAGAAACTCTAAAAGGATTGAAGAGCCTTGGACTCTTTGGCATGCAGGTTCCAGAGGAATATGGTGAGTAAAAAAAGATACTGAAAGTAGAGCCAAACAATTTCTTCCTTTCAACACAAAATGCACCATAAGGCATCACATGCCACTTCCCCCTGTTTTCAAGTCCTTGGCTGAAATGAGGAGGGCTTGGTGTTGCATGGGCATCTCAGTCTCACAGCACTTGCTCAAAATGCATACATAACACTGGCTTACCAGACAAACTATGGTGTCTGATGGAACTGTCAATATCGAAGCCACTACCTTTGACTCACTCAAGTAAGCAAGGAACCCATTTGTCCACTTTAAAAACTTAATAGCTGTGTTGAGACATAGTTGTATTTTATTAAACCAAAAAACCCTGTCTTCAGCTTCAGAAGTGTCTGTGGGCCAGGGGCACTAGTTCCTCAATGGAGTAAACGCCCAGAGTTGCGGAGAGAGGACGAGGAATATGTTTTCATGCCCTCATATGTGCACAGTGAGGTGGTCTTGAGAGTGTTATAATTTTTTTTTATCAAGATGTAAAATAAGAAATGAGATCGCTTGCCTAGCGGTCTTAAACAGGGATTTGAAGGAGGATGGGACAGTGGCTTTAAAAACTAGTTTGGCCTGGGTATGTGGTGTATGAAGGACAACCTGAACTACAAAGTATTAGTTGCAGTGAGTACAATAGTGCTGAATAAAGCTGGAAGAAGACCTAACTCAGAATTCTTGTGATTTAGTTAGTTTATATCTTCTTTTAACCATACTCTTGTGTGTTGATGCATGCAAGTTGACCTATTACTTATTTTTGTTTAATTTCTCATGAGTGCAACAGAGATGCAAATCTTACTTCTGCAAAGATCTGAGAACAGCATCCATTTGATCCCATTCCAAGACTAATACATAACACAAATAACTAAAAAGAAAAAATGGAAGAGTTCTTTTTATTAATGAAATTGAGTCATGCTAGTCACTAGAATTCATAGCAGGTTTAATTTTGTCTTAGAATACATTAAATTATCTACTGCTCTAGTAGTCTTAAAACAGTCTTTGTAATGCCAAATGGGTCTTCTACTGTTAATGTCAGAGAAATTTTTGAAAAATCTAAGGTCTGTGTGCACAACTAATACTATCATCAGACAATAGCTGTGTTTACATACAGATAGCTAATTAGACGCCATTTCTGTGTGGGGATCTCGGGCTTTTTCCAAACATCTTCTAGCTTTTTCTCTTCACCTTTTTGTATGTGGTCTATATTGAAATATTTTAGTAGACATACAATGCTGAGTGGGTTAGTGCACCAGGAGGAAACGCACTGAGATGTATCATAGTGAAATGGATACATCATATAACACTAATTACATTAATCAAACTTAGGACAATCCTTTTGTGAAAGAGAATGTGATCTAGCATAAGCCTCTGTATGAGAGTTGCTGGTTCGTTCATGCTGTGTTTACAATCCTGTCTTCAATTTTGTAAAAACAAAATTCTGGCATAAGAATTTTTTGTAATCACTTCCTATGAAATGGGACATGATTGCATTCTAAAAGTAGATTAGGAAAAATCAGTCCAGGGTTGTAAGGGAAAGATGGTCTGAGGGGTACAATAAATCCTCAGAAGTGAGCCCTAGGATTTCAATTTCAGGTCAGTCCCATAACCGTTTTTCTGTGTTGCCAGAAGTGCCAGCAGTCTTTCCAGTTCAAAAGATCTGCTATATGGACTAATGTCCAGTAGATCAATGAGTGGTGATCTGCTTTATGAGCAAGTGGCATAAAGCAAAAGATGCCTTCTTGACGCTGACGGGTATGACACATGAGCAGCTTATCTAATGATGAGCCTATCTCCTATCCCCTGAGCTCATTCATTATAAGACATTAATAGAAATAGAAATCATGGCTCTGGGCCTCATTGGTGTATTCGCCAGGCTCACGAATATGAAAACAGCGAAGACATTGGAAACGGCTTCTGTATTTGAATCAGTTACATCCACAGTATATAAAGTTAAGTCATGTACAGTTGTGGTTGGTAAGTTAATGTTTGTTTGGATGTGGATTTCAATTGTACTTTTAATTTATAAAAATGTGACTTAAGTCTTGGTCGCTTAAAATTTTCATTTGGCATAACCTCTTGAATAATGTTAGTGCCAGGCGCAGCAAAAACAAACAAAACTGGGATTGAATTTCAAATAAACTAATACTTCAGCAAAAAAACCCCTCTTGAAACGTATGTTTCCTCAAACACAAATATGAACCTGGAAATTTCAAATAAAAGAGCCAAGTTGCTTACTAGCCTGACTCCCCCCCCCCCCCCCCCCCCCAAAATAACTTCTTGTAATTGGAGGCTTTTGAGAGCACCAGAACAATCTGCTACAGCACCACAAGGGCAATGTTCACTCTTACCTCTTCAACTCTGATCACAAAGTAGGAGAAGGTACTGTGCTTGTGCAGCTTCCTGATGAAGTGTTGAAAATGTGAATTTGTGAACCATAAAAGGTGGCTTTGTAACCGGTTTAATAAATGTCTGAGACTAAATTATGCTTTTTCACTACATGCTCTTTCCATCTAATAGTCATAACTGGATGATCTGTGCCTTGAATATGTGAAATTTTTAAACTGAGTAATATACTGCTTAATCTGGAATTGTTAGTCTTTACTTTGACTCTGTATAGCTATAAGGAGGATGGAGGCTGAGCAACCTCTGTACAATTAAGAGTAAGATACTAAAGTTTTTGTGGTCACTGATGAAATGAACCTGTGATGGGTGAAGAAGACTGTCAGTCATACGATACAGTAGCAATAAAGGTCAGAGTTAAGATTACTGGATTACCTGTACTGTGTATTTCATACTTTCACTCTGACATCACCCCCCCCCCCCCGACCCTGCACGGCAAGCAGGAGACTTGTGGAGCGCAGAGGGCAGGAGCAGCACAGGGCAGTGGGGGGAGGGACAGCTGAACTGCCAGCAATTGGCAGCCTGCTGGGTGGTGGCTGCTGCACAGGGAACTTAGGGGGGCTGCTGGTCCACCCTGGTTCCAAGCCCCCACCAGCTAGCTCCAACGGGCTGCCCTTCCTGCAAGCCGTGGACAAAGCAGGCAGCTGCCAAACAGCGCTATAAAGGAGCATTGCACAACTTTAAAAGAGCACGTTCTCTAACTGATCAGCAACATAACGTTAACTGGGCTGACTTTGAGTGAGGAGTTACTTTACCATAGACTTTTAATTGTTAAGCTGTTCAATGACAGGAGTACCCCCCATGCGCTGCGCTCCCCCCCCCCCCGCCCCTCACCTCCCCATGTGGCTACCTCCTTCCATTCCTCATACTGAACCTCTTGTTTCCCGGGTGACTTTCCTTCTCTTCCCAGACTTAGTTCATCTGTCATTCCTTTGAAGTTTGTAGGTGAAGCTGTTTTGGAGACAACTTTTTTTTTTTAAAGTTATGTTTATATTTGAAGAGAGAAAAAACTAGGCAAATCAATTTAAAAATCTACTTCAGGTTAAATTTTGAACTCCTGTATTTCAAAAACCTCTATGCCTGACATTTTGCAGGAAAATTTCATGTGACATTTCATATCCGTTTATTTTGAGTTTGACACTGGGGTGATGTAGGTTTGAAAATCAGGCTTGTAACAGGAATCCAGCTTCAAACTTGACCTCTCCAAAACCTCCTGTGAGAGAGAAGAGACATCAAGGTTGGTCATGTTCTGGAAACATTTACATCATAAAGCAATGATAAAAGCAAGTTGGATAACGCCTGCATTCTATTTAAATCACTTCGGAAAGTATTGAAAGTTAGTTCTGTGCAACAAGGCAGATGCTTAGCCCTGGTCTACACTAGGACTTTAGGTCGAATTTAGCAGCGTTAAATCGATGTAAACCTGCACCTGTCCACACGATGAAGCCCTTTTTTTCGACTTAAAGGGCTCTTAAAATCGATTTCCTTCACCCCGACAAGTGGATTAGCACTTAAATCTACCTTGCCAGGTCGAATTTGGGGTACTGTGGACACAATTCGACGGTATTGGCCTCCGGGAGCTATCCCAGAGTGCTCCATTGTGACCGCTCTGGACAGCACTCTCAACTTGGATGCACTGGCCAGGTAGACAGGAAAAGAACCGCGAACTTTTGAATCTCATTTCCGGGAACTGTGGGATAGCTACCCACAGTGCAACACTCCGGAAGTCGACACTTGCCTCGGTGCTGTGGAAGCACTCTGCCGAGTTAATGCACTTAGAGCATTTTCTGTGGGGACACACACACTCGAATATATAAAACCGATTTCTAAAAAACCAACTTCTATAAATTCGACCTAATTTCGTAGTGTAGACATACCCTTAGGCAGACCTAATAGAATATTTGGGTACTAATTAACTTTATATTATAAAATAGATATCTGCTGCTTTCATGTCTCATTTATACAAAATCGTACTGTTGTCAATACCATGGACAAATAAGGATGCTTCTAATAGCAAGAACAGCCTGTTGTCCAACAAGAACTCCAGTTTGTTTACATACTTCAGTAGAAAGTAAGTTGTTAGCTTGATACCAATTATAAAGTAAATATAAATAGGTTTGTGCCTTTTTTCTATTTCTGAATGAGCAGTTTTGTCCAAAATGGGTCTTGATATAGGTACCTACTCATTCTTATTCCCTCTCCCTGTGCGTCCCCTCATGGGAAGTTCCTGGCAGTTCAGGATTTCCGCTTGTTAAATATTGTTGTGGTGGTTGATGCCAGAAGGGGCTGCTGGGGGGACGGGACAGCACTGCAGGCTTCTGAATGGCAGTTCCAGCTGCCACAGCAGAGGCTGTTGCTTCACTGAACCCTTGCCTATGTATTGGGTTAGCCCTCAGGCAGGAGCCCCGAGCCACAGACTTCTTACTGGCTCAGCCTCCATCCAGAGGCCAAAGCTCCCCTGTGCGCAGTGGTTCAGCTGTGAACTAGGACAACTGATTGTCTCACTCGACATGAGCACCAATTCCTTGCCACCGCCAAAAGGGCTCTGGAGGAGTCCCAAGGAACCTTACATTAATAAACTTAAAATCCATCTACCCCGGCTATTTTCATCTTTGAAATCGACAGCTCAGTGCATCATCCACTCCAAGTTGCGTTTTATAAAATTTCATAATGGGGGCACATTTGCTAGATGCAGTAGTATTCCTAATTTTCTTGTAAGAAAAGAACCAATAAAGAATGAAAACTTACACATGCACTGAAAAGAAAAATGTATCAATCTAAGTGAATGGGATATTTTTAGAGCCCATTTTATGCCAATGAGGTAGATACTTGTAGTTGATATGTAGCCCCATTAATGACCTCACAGCATCACTCAGACACACTCTTGCATTCTGCAACTGAAGAACATGAGGATGCATGGGACCAAATTCTCTGCTCTCATAACTGTGAAATCTGTGGAGTTACAGCAGCAGAGAAATTGGCCCACTGAATGTTCATTAAGGCCATATGCACTGAAGAGTTTTATATGAGAATTTGCACCAACACTACTCCTGGTTCATGTGCCCCCTGTTAGCACCAGTTGGAGCCCTAGTCTACACCAGCCTCCTGTGGCCAAATCAGTCTTTACCACTATTAGTAAAACCAGAAGGTTTAGCTAACAGTTGTAAAACTGGATCTGGCTTTGGGAGCTTAGTCTAAACTAAGGCTTCAGTTGGTGCTAACACCAGGTCATGTGAACCAGTACTAGTGTTAGTGAGAATTCTCTTGTAAAAATCCTAATGCACATGAGGCCTTGAATAATCTTGTGTTTTTGTAACTGAAACACACCATCAAAAAGCCAGTTGGAAACGCATCTCATTGGACTACAACACTGCTTTCAGGTTTGAGTGTAATAGCCTCTTTTGCAACTGCAATAAATACTGTATTTTAAAGAAAATGTAAGACCTCAATAAATGGAATGATATACATGAAGGACTGCTTATTGTAGTAAAATATATATATATTAGGATTAGTAAAAATGTAAACAAATATTTAAGATGCTAAAATATTTGTACCAAATCAATCTAAACAGGTTACTTACGTAGCGAGCTTCTTCCTGTATACCTTGCTCTACGTGTGAGTGAAATAAAATCTGACTTGTTTTATTCTAATCTTTACTGTTAGAAAAGTAAATGTATAAAAACTTAATATCTAGTTTCTTCTGGATGACTAGGAAACAAGCAGACCTATGGCTACAGCATGTAGAACTATGTACCTTGATGGAAGAGTTTCCATTATGGAAATTAATACACTGTTCATACTCTTACATTGCGTATATGGGTCATAAAACTAAACCACATCTATAGAAATGTTAAAGGAGAAGAAAGTTCAACCTAAAGCAATGCTGCAATTTGAAAAGTAGAAGTTTATTCTTTAATCACTACAACAGATTGCTATTTGCAACTGTTAAAACAATGCTGCATTAGACTACTTTAAAGTGTTGTTCTCAAGCTTTCAGTATATTTGAGTGAAACAAATGGATGGTTGCTGAGAGACCAAAGTTGACTTCAGAAGAGTGGGAGAAGTTTCAATGGATGCATTAAATTGATTTTGAGGTGTGCGCTATATGTCTGGTAATGTCATGAAGACTGTTCCATGTGATTTATAAATCAAACTAACAGGGAGATAGAACAGTGGTCTGAATGTTGTTTTGGAGAAAATTTTAAGTAATGCTTTTTAAACGAGCTGCCTCAGCATTCTATAGGTATGCTTTTCCATTCAGTGTCTTCGATGCTTTGGGTAAAAGACTGAACTCTAGTAGCCTCTTTTAAGAGGCAAATCCCTTAGGTGAAATCTTGGCCCTTTTGGAGTCAATGGGAATTTTGGCGTTTACTGCAGGAGGGCCAGGATTTCACCTTTTGTGCAGTTTGGAATAGAATGCTTTGTTCACTTGACTGTCACTTTAGTCAAAACAATTGTATTTGGGTTAAGGTTAATGCACAATCTTGATGAACTTCAAGAATAGTTTGTATTAATTCAGTTCAGGTGATATTTGGAAGTTTGCCAGTTAATGTCAAATGTTTGGCTTTTCTGAATTTTCATATATGTACAGTGCTGGGATAGCTTTTTCTGCAAAAATAAATGAAGATGTTCCATACAAACAGCTTTCTTAAGAAACTGACCATTAAGTTTGCATTGTGATGTACATGTATCACAATAGCATTTAATTTCTCAAATGCACAATAATATCCTTCTTTTCTACAACTTTAGATATGAATATGTGGCATCTTGTAATATTTCTAACACTTAATTCTTACACTAATTTTGTGGCCCTAGAAGCCTCCAACTTTGATTTACATGATTTCTCTAAATTATGTATTCAATACCTCTTCCATAGCCACATATGATAGTCTCTTGTCAACCAACAGTACTGATTTCATTCAATGCATTTAACTGCAAAGCTAATGTCAATGTAAAATTACATGGCTTGTGGAGGGCAACAGATTTCTATTTAACATGCAATATGTCTCTAAGCATGATTTACCAGGGCTTGTCATCCAAATGACTGTTATAGCAGACCAACATAATCCGGGGAAGTAGTATTGTAAGACATTACTGTACACTTGTAAAATATATTGTATTTGCTATGACATGTTCATGTAATTGGACTATATTGTAACTTGAAAGGGGGCGTAATTAAGGTTGCACACATGAACATAATTTTAGCATTTCTTGGTGTGAGATTTTGACTTTGATGTAATCTTTATATTCCTAACAGACTTCTGTGTAGGGAAGCTTCTACTTGTCTTTAAAAGAAAAAGAAGGGGGACAGGTGGAGAGAGGGACAATTTAAAAAAGAGGAACTTCATTGTCCAATACTCCTGAAATATATTGGTTTTCAAAAGGACAAATAAATACATAAATAATCACATGTAAATTCTACAACTTGTAACTGCTTGGCTAGACACTGCACAAGGGAAAAAACTATCCCAGTGGTTCTTAACCAGAGGTCTGGATGCAGGTTTCAGGGAGTCCACCAAGCAGGGCCAGTGTTAGACTCTTTGGGGCCCAGGGCAGAAAGCTGAAGTCCCACCCTATGGGGCTGAAGCCCAGGGCCCTGAGCCCTTCCACCTGGGAGTGAAGTCAAAGCCTGAGCAACTTAGCTTACTACCCCCTAATGCTGGTCCTGGCTTTTATATGCAGAAAGCTAGTTGTTATGGCACAGGTGAGCCATGGAGTTTTTTTATAGCATGCGGGGGAGCCCTCAGGGGAAAAAACAGTTGAGAACCCCTGCTCTATCCCACCTACCTTGGGCAGTCCAGAGGCAGGCTGGCTGGCTCCCCCCATTCCTGCAACCCTTAGAAAAAGGGAGTGGTTATGTGGGTGGGGAGAGTGGCGGAGTGGAAATTGTAATTAATATGGAGTATGTATTGAATGGGGAGGGAGGCATAAGCAATGAGTGAATGAAAGGGGTAGGAGTTAGTTTGTTAATAGTTTTAAAGTTGAGCTTGTGCTTGTATTTATTGGGTGCACAGGGAAAAAAGTGAATAGATTCAGAGGTTTATCTGAATATTGTTCCCATTCTCCTTTGTTATCTTATGAAAAAAGTATTTGTGTTTTAATAGTAATTATCTGGGTTTGCATTCGGTTACGTAAAACTAGTACTTTTCTATAGCCCAAGGTATCAAAATTATGCATATGCGAGTGCTGGAAATACAAAGGAAAGATCTTTAACATGAGATGCAATTATGCATAATTTTTCCCTTGCCTAACTCTTCTTAGCTCCTTTTTAAATAAACAGTGTATGTATTTACAGCTCGAGATCACAAAATGGAAACAAAGTTCATACCTGTGGCAAATTAGTTTCTCAACATATTTAATTTTAATGTTAGACATTCTTAAGATTTTTAACTCTTACCCTTATGTAATACCCATTTAGAACACTGAATTCCAAACACTTTTCTATCAGTTTTGTCCTCTTCTTAATCTCTTCTCTTGTAAAGTGCAAGCCAACATGGCTTTGCTTTTACTCTTCATGTTCTTGTCTTCTGTACCAGGTACAATGACATCAGCACTCTTCTGAGACTAAGGTTGTTAAACTATACTCCCTCTGCTGGCTGGTTCTGCAGCTGCTGAGCAAAACAATCATACGTGAACAGTAGCTGGCTTTCTTAAAAACTGAGTGAAGGACTCTAAACCAAACTAGATGTGTAGTATTAGGTGAATGATCCTTCAAGTATAAGTTGAATTTCTGTCCTAACACCCCTTTGACATAAAAAGGGAAATGCTGAGTATTCACTGGACTTTGTTTCCTAACATTCAGTGTACTGAATCATGTCCGTTCTAGAGGGGGTGTGTGTGTGTGTAATGTAATATATAGTGTCAACGTCTCTGGGTAGAACCAAAATATCTATGCTTCCACACCCGGGGAAAAAAAAACGACCATAAGTAATTTTTAAAAGTTCATTTGTTTCTTCTAAAATGTGTTCCGCCTAAATTGCTATAAATACAGTGTGATGTTCACTTTGTGGGCGAACTATATGCTTCAGTTACATGTAATATACCATTAAAGGCTTCCTCAGTATTCTTTGAGCTTTTAAAACACTACTTATTTATGTTTTTTTGTTTTTATATACTTTCAAAGTATTTCTCTCTGTAGGGACAGCTCTTAAAGCAGTAAAATGTATATGGATTGACAAAAAAAAAAACATTTTTCCCCCCAGGTGGACTTGGTCTTTCAAATACAATGTATGCTCGTTTAGGAGAAATCATTTCTCTAGATGGATCTATTGCGGTTACTTTGGCAGCTCATCAAGCAATAGGGCTTAAGGTAACATTGGGTTATTATTTTATTTGTTATACACTGCTTGTAGAGGCCAGATGAGATGAACTTACATTCAAGTGTAGATTTGAGGGGGAGAGGTCCTTTAACTTATTTTGATAACAAATAAATAAAACTACCATCTGTGAATAGTAAATCAAGGGCTGCATTTTGACTTCATACTGGCCTGTTATAAATTTGTTTCAAGAGTGCTCCTCCCATACACTGATCTCCTAAAGTGCTTTGAGATCTACTGATGAAAAGTGCTATAAAAGAACAAAGTACTGTTCGTTGTTCTCTTCTTGTGGCCAGTCTGGGATAATTGGGTTAACCCTTCCCACTGCCAGAGAGCAATCAAAAAGTTTTGTTGAGACTCTGCATCCTGGCCTGGTACACAAAATAAGCTCTTAATTTGTGTAAAAAAACATCTGATTGTAACTTGGTTTCCCTTTGATAAAAAGCCCTGCATATAAAGATCTAAAGAAAAAATTTCATTTTATATAAAACATTTTGGAAAATAAGTAGGTCACGCCTTGGTCTTTGCTTGATACCCTTTTTATTTATAGTACAGCAATGGCAGTAAAAGTACCACATCCTCTAATGGAGAGGGGTACCTCTAGGACTAAGGGAGTAGTTCAGGTTCCATGCTCATGTAGTTATTGGGCTCTTTGAGATGGACAATTAGGATTTCAGTTGTGATGGGGGGCTACTAGATACCATGTCCAAAAGGAAGTGGTCTAATGCCAGCTTATTTCAAGTAGGCAGTTGATCAGCTATCTGATGATTTATTAATTGGACATGAATATGTCAAACACAATTTCAGTCTGTTAAATACATAATTAGATAAAATCATGATTTTAACGTACAAATTAATTTTCTGTATATAATGAATTAAACATTGTGTGAATGATGCTTTACTTCTCGCACATCATGATGTGTTGGTAAGTCTCTTATTCATTTCTTTACCTAGGGAATCCTGATGGCTGGCACTGATGAGCAGAAAGCAAAGTATCTACCTAAATTGGCATCTGGGGAGCATATTGCAGCTTTTTGCCTTACAGAACCGGGAAGGTAACATTATTTTGTAACTAAAAATGTTTTATTTTTTTGATGACATACATTTGTTTGGTTTGTTACAATGGCACCTACTTCAAATCTATTCTATTTTTTGTGTGTGTGACTTTAAGGCGGATGTTATCAATAAATGATACAGTAGAACTTTGGGAATGGAGGTTGTTCTGAAATGTCTAACTGAACAAAATGTTATGGTTGTTCCTTCAAAAGTTTACAACTGAACATGACTTAATACAGCTTTGAAACTTTACTATGCAAAAGACAAGTGCTGCTTTTCACTGTCTTAATTTAAATGAAACAAGCACAGAAACAGTTTCCTTGCCGTGTCAAATCTTTTTTTAAACTTTCCCTTCATTTTTTTTTTAGTAGTTCACATTTAACACAGTGCTGTATTGTACAGTATTGGCTCTTTTTTTGTGTCTGCTGTCTGATTTCATACTTCCGGTACCAAATGAGGGGTGTGGTTGACTGGTCAGTTCGTAACTCTGAGGTTCTACTTTATTTCAAACTACATAATTCATCTTCTCCCATGGAGGTGCACCTGTGGCTTCCATGAAATTACTGAATGTTTTTTTTGACTTCAGATACATTAATTGGCCCAAACCTTGCCATATCAGACACATTAATTTATCAGTGGAACTGAGTATGGTTTGAAGGACTCTATTGGCTGTGCAGGGAACATTGTGACACCATGAGCACTGAACTGGTTACTCTAAGCTTCTGTGACATAGTTAGAGAAAAATTATGAAAGCTTCTCCAATACCTGGCTCAGTTGACAAACAGTATTAAGAAACCTTTGGGCTTGTCTGTGTGGCAAGCAGGGGTCTGAATCTACCTTGCACTTCCTGCCACCGACGAACTGTCCATGTGGACTCTGCTGACCCACATTAACAGTTGTTAATGCACTTTGATCTAGTCCTCTTTGAAATGGCAGAGTCAATAGGAACACTTATTCCATGGCATGCTACTATAGCTTGCTGCGAACTAATTGTTCATGTGGACAAGTCCTTTGTCTTCCACTGAAGGTGTGTAAAAATTTTAACTCTTTTGTGGCAGCAGCTTCATTTCAGGTTTGTGTTTGTTTATTGCTTGGTTGTAGGTAAGATTTGAAAGTGGCTTTAATTCAGAGGAGTACAGTGTTTGCCTACAAATATGAGAATATCTGATTATGCTGTGACTCTTAAAGTGTTTGGAAGAAAAGCCTTAGCCCACTCGAGCAATGTGTGCTGTATTTTTACTTTTAGCTGTAAACTCTATGGACTTCAAGAGTGGACTAGCATTTTCTAGAACTTCTTGCAATAGGCACTTTATTTCTATTCCTTGAGTGTTATGAGGCAGTAGCCTCATCATAGTTAGTTAAGACTTCTTCAATCATAAGCTCGGCTTTGGCCCCCCTTTAAAGTCTTTTTCCATTTTGCAGATGTGGACTGTATTAGCAGAGGTTTATTTTTGAAAGAAATTCAGGCAACTGATTTTTGAAGTGACACTTTGAGGGGGGGGGAAGAGGGAGAGAATAGGTGCTAATCATGTTTTGAAAATTTTTCCAACATTTATTTAGCCTGTTTAACTCAATCTTTTAAAATCTCTAGTACACAGGTGCAATCTGTGAAAAGAAAAGGCATAGTTCAGAAGTTATTTGGTGGCAAATAGATAACATCAGAAAGTTCCAGGCACTATCCAGTATTTAAAGGGTATATAGTTTAGACTGGTGGAGACCTAGCTTTCATTTATCAGGGGAGGGAGGCAAAATACCATGACTGTCACAATCCATGTAAAGTTTGCACGGCTTGTGGTTAAGATATCAGTCTTGAAAACTGAACAGGTTTGGTCTGGAATCACTGAGAGTGTGTACCTGGAAACTCATAATACCACTTTTAGAGTCCCTTTTAGGAGTGGAACTCCTTTTAAAAACTCAAAGGAGATTTGGCTTTTATAAAACCTTTTTCACCCACCACAGCAAATGTCACTTTTAGAGAAGTTGTTATGCCGGTATCAAAGCTGGAGATCTAGAAAGGAAACTTATCTAAAGAAGAACAATACATGCCTGTAGTTAGCACTATATAAGTAGGTCGTGATTGAGAAGATGTTTGAATTTATTGAACTAGGAGCATTCATACTCTCCCCATTGCTCACCCTGGAAGTCCATATAATTGACCTGCCACATTTGTCAGCATACAACAGTATATGATGTACACAGCTATTAATTCTGTGAGGACTACCAACTATTCCATTTTTCCCTTTCTGTTGCGTATTGCTTTCTTTCAGGATGTGCAACAATATAGCATGAATTGTGGGTAGCTGCTTCTGTGCTTCAAACCAGCTATGCGTTGTGACTCTTTTTTTTGCTGCCTTCCAGTACTTCAGAAAGGTAGCAAAGCTAAGCTGATTACCAAGGATGTCATTTCTAAAATATTCTAGCTGTTCCTAGTCAATGTGGCACCATACAGTATAAAATAAGTGAGACTCCAGAGAGAGGTCTCCTCAGAGGACTGTTTGAAGTATATTTCTTCAGCAGCCATTGGATTTAGAAAGTTACACTTTTATTTAGAAACTGAACTTGAGCGTTTGAAAATTTGGGCCTATATTTGTATCCCTCATATTGTTTAAGCGTTTCTGGAAACTAAACACATTTTAACTACTTTGGCTTCTAGTGGAAGTGATGCAGCATCCATCCAGTCCAGAGCTACCATGAATGAAGATGGGAAAAGCTTTTTACTAAATGGCTCAAAGGTATTTATCCATAGAATAATGAATTGAAATATTTATTTCTGGTATGAGTTTCATAGGGAGAATTCCTACCTCATGGAGCATTGCTGGTCACCTTGGTCTCCCAAATGAGAACTTAACTTGGCACCTTCCTTGGATTTCTGAGGATCCCAGGCTAGTAAAGAACAGTGTCAAAAAGACACTTCATTCACTCTTGAGGCCAGAAGAAATTACTACTCAGAGTAACCTTTGCTAATCCTTGGTAAAAAGGCTAAGGAGGTCTCACTCCGTGAACATGCTTTTCTTCTCTGTATTTTCCCCATCCTGTGTCCTGCTTTATTCCGGGAGGGTGAGAGTCTGCCCCTCACTGTGCACACCCAGGTGAGGAGGAAACCTGAAATCTTTTTTTTTCCAGCTCTCTACCTTCTCTGCCCAATGTTTTGATGAATACTTTAAAGGGAAAAATTAACACTGACTTGGAAGTAGAGCTGGTCAGGCCACCTTTTTGGCTAAATTATGTATGCTGTTACATCAAAGCCAAAATGTTTAGTGAGACACATTGGTTCTGATATATGAAAATTTTGGTGGTTAGGGCACTGGCCTGGCATGTGGAAGACTCAGGTTCAACTCCGTGTTCTGCCTGATTCAGAACAGTTTTTCATCCCAGATCAATCTGAAACAAATGGAGCAGGGCCTTGAATCTAGTGTCACAGTTTCAAGGTTAACTTCACCCTTGACACTCCACCCTCTTAGCCCTCTTGAGGGCATTCACTTCACATTTCAGGCTTCCTGTCCATCACCTCTTTTGGGTGGAGGTGATCTCTCCCACCCCAGACTGGGGGTTTAAGCTTGCACTCCTTTGCAGCTCACTGATTTCCCCAGCAGTCCAGACTGGGGTCCAATACCTGTGATTTGTTCTCTCTCCAGGGGGTACTACAGTGTCCGCGAATTACCAACCAGCCTTCACAAAACAAAGTGTACTTGTTCCTAGGGCAAAAGCATTAGAGAAAACATTTTTTTTTTTTTTTTTAAATTGTCATCCTCTGGTCAGCTCTTCTTGGAAGTATAACCTTGCCGTAGTCACAAAGACATTGCAAGGGCAGAGATTAAAACTTGACAGAATGAGTCAGTTAGTCCTGTGCTGAGACAGCTTCTGTTCTGAAATAATAAAGTATTGCATCTATCACAGCACAGCTAATGTACCTTTTTTCTTTTCCCTACCTCCTCTCCCAGATCTGGATATCCAATGGTGGACTGGCAGACATTTTCACTGTGTTTGCAAGGACTGAGGTTGTTGATAAAGATGGTGCAAAAAAAGACAAAATTAGTGCCTTCATTGTAGAAAGAGCCTTTGGTGGAGTCACTAATGGGAAGCCAGAAGATAAACTGGGTATTCGAGGATCTAATAGTAAGAAGCAATTAAATTCAATATTTTCATGGAAGTGTGTTTCAAAATTCATGTATTTATCAGAATCCACAAGCAAATCCATTTTGGTAGGGTAATACACTACATTCCAATTTGATTGTGGACGTTTTGATTCCTATTTCTTTAACATCCTTCTCAGTTTTCTGCAGACAATTCAAAGTGCATTTTCACAAATATAAAGATCCATGTTAAGTAATTACCTTCTCATCTGCTAATGTCATCCATTTCCAAACACCTGACACTCTCATCTTGCCATGGAAATTCCCCTTTGTGTGCTGCACTGAGAAGATTCAGTAATAAGCAGCATTACTATGATACAGCAGCACTGGGAGCTGGTTTCTCTTTGTTGTTCTATTTATTGGTAAATCTTATGCTTCACCATCAGTCATTCAGTTATGTGTGTTCTTTCGGTCTTTCTTCCAGTTCCAGGCGAGACTGTAGTTTTCCCCAGTCATGCTGTACAAGTTAGAGATATTAGTATTTGTACATTTCATAAATTAAAATGCCAACTCCCAGCTTTCTCACCGTTAACTTCTTTGACAAAGTGTATTTAATTCTGTTGTGTTGTATTGGGAAAAATCCAACTTCTAGTACAGAAAGAGTAAGTTAAATTCTGAATATTGCTATATCTTTTAACAGTATTTCTCAAAAGTTTTCTGAAATAATTGAATGCTATTTTTATTTCAGCCTGTGAAGTACATTTTGAAAACACAAAAGTGCCTGTAGAGAATGTTATTGGAGAAGTAGGAGGGGGGTTTAAGGTGAGTTGTGGAGAATAATAATTATTATGTTTAAACCGACCACAAAGATGTCTCTGGGGAAGAGAATATGTTGTTTGGTGCCAGATTTAGCTCTGCTCTAAAAGGACAAACATATTTGTTAACGTCTAAGATCAGTAAATGTGAAAAAGATTAGAGGATGGAATTACTCTGTTTATCTTTTATATGCAGTAAGTTTCGTATGTTACATTCTCTATGTTCATAGGCACTCCCTTTCTTAAGCACTGTAGTAGTGTATGTAACAGAGAAGCTTCTGCTGTTGGAGTTTCGTTAGCTGGTGCTTCAGTTTTTCCATCCAAGATTACTAAAACTGTTTGTTTGAAAAGAACAAGTTTGGTAAATTTCAACAACTTTCACTTTACCCATCCTGGGGTGGGTGATACAGAACAAAAAACAATAGCATTGGAGAAAATTTGAACACCCTTGGATATCTCCCCTCACATGAATGTGCAACTGTGAGTGAAGCTGTAAATGGCTTTTTGAAATTTGCCTGTCCCCATCCTTACCCTTACAGCCAACCTGCCATAAGCAGAGTTCATATGCAGAGGGATGTAAGTTCAAGGCAGCGGCCCATAGGCACAAAATTTTGTTTTGTGTTACTCTAATGCTTAGCATTGCTGCAAAAGTGTATTGATCCAGTCCTTTGGAGTTTCCAGTGGAGACCTCCCTGCCAAGCAACATGTAGTTGTCAGCTGAGTAGGCAAAAAGGAGAGTGAGGAAATGCCACAAAAACCACAAATTAGGATGATGCAGGGAGGGGAAAGAAATAAGAAAGGGAAAACAAAGCAGGCAGACAAGGAGGGGGTTCGGAATGGGGAGAGCAAAAGAGATGATAGGAAATTCCGGAGGACATAAGGGGGCTACCCATCAGCTAATCATCACAAAAGGACTCTACCCAAATGAAACGCAGCAAACCACTGCTGAGATACTCAAACATGAACTGAGTGTAAACATTAAACTGAGCATTTATATGTGAGCATGATACAGGCTGCTTCCTTTCTTGATGTTTAAAGGAAGAAGCCTTTCTATAGAAAAGAAAAGGTTAAAATCAGAATCAGTTCATGAATTTTGATAAATGGGATGTGATCAGTGATGAAAGCTATAAGGTTTAAGCTACAGTGAAAGTAATCTTGTTATATTTGTAGTTTAGTGTTTAAATGAAACCCATGTGGGGAGAGATAAAAATTCTAGATGTCAACAGAAAAATTCTTGGGGAAAAGGTAGAAATATTAAGTAAGATTTCATGGGATAATCAATAAAGGAAATGGGAAAGTGAAGATATGAAGTAGCCTATACCCAAAGGCTGCATTTCGTAACAACCAGCCAAAAATATGTCAAGAGTCTGTAAATCATGTGGATTAACAAAGTGCGAATAATGAATAAGGTTAAATGAGGCCAAGCAGAGAGTAATTTCAGGTACAGAAGAACAGCAAAGACTGAAAATGAAGTTGTTTTGAAGGAAGGGGGGAAAGCATGAGGACAGGTAGAGAATGAGAAGATAAGAGATTAAAGTAAATCGGACATTTAAGTACATAAGGAGCACGAAATCAATAAAGGAGACAGAAGGGACTCTTAAGAGATAGTAAGGGTAATTTATTTACAGAAGAGGACAGATACCGCTAAAGTAATTGAATTCTTGTACTTAATTTATAAAGGAGTTAAGAGTTCAGATGCCAGAAACTGAGACGGTTTTCAAGGGGAGCTGAAGAAATGGTGAAAGAAATTGTGATTGTACTGGAACAGATGATCAAGAAATTAGAACTTCTGAGGGACTGAAAAACAAACTTCAACCTTATAGAAAAATTGTTTATAGTTTTTAAATTACACTTGAAATGAAGGTTGAATATGAGATTGATATCCTGAACAAAGGCTAACAATTGTCTGTATTTAAAAAGATATTTAGGGAATATCTGATAAAATACAAACCTTAGCTTCCTTTCAGTGGGATAATACTGAAAACATTTATAACAAACTGAATAGACAGATGGAAAAATAATGGATTGTGTGCATAATTCACAAGGGCTACCATGGAAATAGTAAATAAAACCTAATATAAGTAAATGCATTGATTATCTGCCGTGTTAAATATACGCCATGGGCAGTGAATTTGTCACAGAAAATTCTCAAGCATTGCAGATGAGTTTTGGTAAACCTTATTTAAAGTTTTGTGACTTATTTCTGAACTTGTTTAGCAAAATATTCCTTCCTCTTGTGTTTATGAAGCAAAAAGTCTTGAAATTCTCAGTGCCCTTTCTGTGTCAAGTAATATCAACTTGTCAGATTTCTGAACTGAAGTCTGAGAGGTAAATGTAATTAATATTCACAATATTTAGCCTAAATTTAAAATATTAGCTTTTAAAAAAAAAAAGTTCTTCGAATACTTGCATGAGTCCATTTCACTGTAGGTGTTTGTGCACCTTGTGCACAGTTGTCAGAACTTTATCCCTCAGCAGTACTCATCCGGGCAGCTCAAGCAACCTCTGTCTCCACATGCCACTGTGCGCTGGTGTAAGCGGATGGAACCACTCCGACCCCCCTCAGTTCCTCTTCCCGCCAGTGGTGGTTGTCGGTGCAATCTCAAGACTTGTCATAAGAATCCCTCGCTCCTTTGCTTGTGTATACTGTTATTGTTAGAAAATAGTTCAGTTGGTTAGTTTTGGCAAGTTTTTGTGATAGATTTTAATCTTAAGTCTTTTTGGGGGGGCGGACGGACTAGTTTTCATCTTATCCCAGTACTGAAACGATGCTGCACTCACCAGGTTTTAAGTCCTGCCGCACGTGTGTCGAACCTGTGCTGGTCAGTGACCCACACACAACCTGTCTGAAATGTTTGGGAGAATCCCACATCAGTGACAAATGTCACATTTCGTCAGATTTAAGTCCTGCTCAAAAAAAGAGAGAGCAATGAGGCTCAGATGTTTGCTCAAGGAGGCAGCACTCGCCACCCCCTTCCATCGGACTCATCACACACAGCTTGTGCCCCAAGTACATCAGTCTGGGCACAGAGCGCACCAGAGATGTCTGCAGCTCCTCAGTCCCGTTTGCTTGTGCTGAAGAAAAGACTTAAACCCTCCTCAGGCTCAGTACCTAGCTTGGGGTTGTTGGTGCTGAAGCCTAGTAGAGGCAGAGATTCTCTGGAGCACCCTTCAGCACAGAAGGGATCATTGCCTCTGGAGCCTGTGCTAGGTCCATTGAGGGCGTCCCCTGAAAGGCGTCTGTGGCAGAGCCATCAGTCATTGCTGCTCCCAGTCACCCTGGAGGTGCATGCAGCTGAAAGGGATCTGCTTAGCCTCTTAGTATGGTATCGCTGGTGGTGCAAGAAGGTTTACAGTCGGTACTCATGCCAGTGGTGCCTACCTCTCTGTGTCAGGAACTCATCGTACCGTTACCTCCCAGGCAGCCACAACGGCTACTACAGTTGAAGGGCAAGCCTCCAGTGATATCCCTGGCACCACCATGCCTTCGTTTGGGCTACCTGTCTCCAGTCCCAACTGGTTCTGCCTCCTCTTCTGCCCCGTTTCTCCCCCCCCTCCCCCATTTTGGATATTTTGCATTCTTCCCCTTCAAACTCAGAGGTGCATCCCTCTGCCATCCAAGACAGAGAGCATACGCTCCATCAGAGACTTGAGGACCATGGGTCATGCAACAGTCACAGCACTGGCCTTTTCCTCCTTCTAATGGGTAATGGCCCCATCAAAGTTGGGTCCCAAGCCCATGTCAGTGGCTGACCATGAGGCACCCCTCCTCCTGCTAGGACATTCCTGCAACTGTCTGGTTCTTTGTCATTGAGACTGCTCAGGTGGCATCAGCATCAGACATCATTTTCTGGTACCTGTATCAAGAACAGTGCCAGCCAGCCAGAAGTCACTCGGGCGGCTTCCCCACTGTAAGTATTGGAGCAGCCTCCACCTCAGAATCCTGTGGTGTCCTCTTCCTCATTCCCAGATGAGGCTGTTGAGGCAGCAAGTGATTCACCACCTCCAGAGGACCATGGGGCTTATCAAGATCTGTTGAGAAGGGTGGCCTCTGTTCTTGACATTCAGGCAGAGGAGGTGTGTGAAAGCTCCCACAAGTTGGTGGACATTCTGGTATTGCCAGCCATGACAGCTAGCCTCTGCCAGTTTAATGAAGCCATAATGGAGCCAATCAAGGTGCTCTGTCATCCTCCTTACCTCCCACCGTAAAGTGAGCTGAAAGGAGGTACTTCGTCCCCAGTAAGGGATATGAGATTTGTACTCTCACCTTCTTCCAGGTTCTTTGGCGGCGGCGGCGGCTGCTGCTAATGTTGTTCAGTGTATCCGCTGTCCTGTCTGCATTCAACGCACTGGGGCTCCTAGATAATCAAAACAAATCAATTCTAAAACCAGTACAGAGAACAGAGTTTGTTGGAGCAGCCTTAGACTCCAAAATCCAGGTTCAAAGTACAACAGGGTTTGGTGTTGTGACTAAAAGCATATGCTCTCTCACAGCCCACCGCTGCCTCAGCCTGCTGGGTCAAATGGCAGCATATGCCTATGTGATTCAACACACCAGGCTGCATCTCAGAAAGCTGCTGGCATCAGTGTATGCCCCAAGTTGTTGTCATGGACAAGATGGTTTGAGTGCCAATGTCAGTTTTATTATTTTTAGATCCTCTGAAAGTCTGTGGGGAGGGAGGTCCCCTTATCGCCCTGCTACCAACCATCACTTCAATCAGCCCCCTTAGGGTCTCTGTTTGCCTTAGGATCTAATGGCTCATATAAACATTAGGGAGTTAAGAGCTATGCAACTAGCCTGCTCATCTTTCCACCCGCATAAAGTAGGAAAGAACTTGGTAATTCTAACAGGCAACTTGGTGACTATGTTTTGCATAAGACAGGGAGGAGTGCAGTCAACCCAGCTGTGCCAGGAGGCAATTAGCTTCTGGAACTTTTGCATACCCAATCAGTTCATCTCAGGGCTGCTTATCTTTCCTGGAAGCAGGACACGTTTGCAGATGGTCT